GGGTTAGGGTTTAGGGTTTAAAACTTGAGCATGCTTTAACTAACCCTGTGGAGACTTCGGTGGCATGGGACTGTCGACTGTCGCATGTCTGGTAAAGGGACCTTAAGAATTACAATAAGTTTTGGGGCCCGTTACACTATCATTGATCATTACACTAACGGAACCCCCCAAAATAGTGCTGGTCATTATTTAGGAACCTAAACCCTAAACCCTAAAAACGCTGAACCCTAAATCCTAAAAGCCCTCAAAACCCCCTAAACCCTAAAAGCCCGAAAAACCCTAAACCCAACATTACGAAACCCCGGAGTTAGGATTTTGGGAGGTCCCGGGGATGGGGACTTCCGGAGTTTCCCGGCGTGGAAGCTGCCAGGCTCTGGGTTGCTGCAAGGGGCTCAGAGGGTTGCATACGGTTTAGGGTTTAGGGTTTAGGGTTTAGGGTTTCGGTTGAGGTTTAGGGTTTAGGTTTTATAAGGTTTAGGGTTTAGGGTTTAGGGGTGGTTATGAGTAGGGTTATAAGTAGAATAACTATACTTGTAACCCATATTAGGGGACTTATAACCCTACTTAAAACTACCCATGAACCTCCAAGTAGGGTTGATGATATATCTTCTGCACTACCCATAATAAGGAATATAGGGTTTAGGGTTTAGGGTCGAGGGTTTAGGGTTGAGGGTTTAGGGCATAATAAGGAGCATACCATAATTCCCGTAGTTTAGGGGCCTTAAGGTAATGCAGAATTTATATTTACATCCTTTGGTGCGTTTGGGCATACATAGTAGATACCATAGAAAGGAAGACCATCGAAGCATATTTATGATTCTGCAGACTGCTATATTTGATAGGCTTTACGTTGATGTAGGAGCTCGTGCGACATGACAAGGTCTAGGGTTTAGGGTTGCCTTCAGCATCATCACCAATCACTTTTAGTCGTCAACGGTATTGCCATCGACTGTTTCATCGTTGGGAGACGTGAGCTTGACTAGCGGTACGAGCAGAATGCACACGCACGACAATCAAAGTATTTCTACGGACGCCTTCGTCTGTAAGGCGCGGTGGGATCTGAGACGATGCTTGAAACCTCGACAACACATGCACTGGGCGGGAGTGGGAATGACGTCGACTACATAACACGACTCAAAGCTTCAGCCGAAAACAGCATCAAACCCAAACAGCCACAGGCACCTCCAGCAGCAGGGAAGCAGCATCCTGACCAGCACACAAAGAGGTGGTGTCGAGCGGTTGGCGAGTACGGTGAGTAGTGATCTCCGAGACAGGGCCTAGGTGTTTGGCTGCCCATCCTTGTCGGAACACCCCCTCCATCTCGGGTTTTGGATTTCTAAACCCTAAATCTGAACTCTAAACCCTATAAACCCTAAACCTTAAACCCCAAACACAAAACCTTGCATGCACTCCCCAGTTACTACACCCTGAGCAACCGGAAACTACAAAACATGGAGCTTAGCAGCGGGGTACATAGTCTGCTGCTTAGATGCAGCTGCAGCTGAGAGTTTAGGGTTCCGGGTGGCTCGACCCAATGCCCTCACTGAAACCCAGTAGCATGAACAAAACTCAAACAGCACTTCAGGACTTCTTAGGCTCTAAAAAAGTGAAAATCTTAACACCCTGACCACCACAGACTAAACCCTAAACTCTAAACCCAAAACCCTGAACCCTGAACCCTAAACCCTAAACCCTAAACCCAAACGAGACTCAGACTCCAGCAACAGCCAAAGAGCCCCCAAGCGCAAAAAAAGGCCCCAACCACCAGAAACCGAAAGAACCTCAGAGGCTATCGGCGATCGAAACCCGAGACTCCAACCGCTCTGAGTACCGGAAAGGGTTTACGGTTTAGGGTTCAGGGCTTAAGGTTCAGGGTTTAGGGTTCCTGCAACGGTCTAGGATTTAGGGTGTAAGGGTTCTGCAGTCAGGGTTTAGGGTTCCTTTACAGCGCCATGGCTGCTGGCCTCCCACTGTCGTGCAGCAGAAGCTGCAGCAGCTGCGGAGGAGACCATGAAGATGTCCTACTCACGTTACGGTTTAGGGTTTAGGGTTTAGGGTTTAGGGTTTAGGGTTTAGGGTTTAGGGTTTAGGGTTCCGGGCTACACCCTAAACACTTCCTAAAACCCTCAACCTTTGGAACTTTAGGGTTTGCCCCGCCCCCTCAACACAAAAGCCTTGAGATTTTTCCGCTTGGTTTAGGGTGTAGGGTTTAGGGTTTAGGGTTTAGGTTGCATTAATCCTTAACGATGTCGGCATCAAGGTCTCAAGAACTAACCCTAAGGGTCCATCTGCCCAAATCGTAGATACATTGGCCCCAAAGTACCCACATAGGGACTGCTTTAAGGCCAAAGTATCTACTATTTGGATACATGGGCCCTTAGGGTAAGACTAAGGATTCAGGGCTTGAGGCGGTGTAGGATTTAGGAAAGTTAGGGTTTAGGGCTTTAGCTAGAGGTCGAATATAGGGGCGTTACTAATTAGAATAGGGTTTAGAGTTATAATAAGGAGGCCACCAACATCCTGTTGAAATAATTTAGGCCCCTACATCAGGGGTTTGTTCGTGAGTCTAGCACAAAACCGTGCACAAGACAACACTGCCACTTGCCACACACGTGGGCGTGCGCAGACTTTCAGCAAAACCTGACCGATGCCAAGGTTCCGGCACAGTTCTAAGCCGTTTCGTCGAGTTCATCATCAACCCTAAACCTCAAACCCCAAATACCAAGAGGTTCGGGATCTCCGCTCGGAAACGGTCCGCGGGTTCCCTGTGGAGCTTCTACGACAAGACATAGACTAAAGGCCGCAACCCTGAAAGTTTAGAGCCCCAGGGAGTTAAGGTGACGTTAGTTAGGGTTCAGGGTTTCCCTAAACCCTAAACCCTAATGTTATCTTTAAGGCGGCGTTAGGGTTCAGCGTTTAGGGTAAGGGGTTATGGGCAGATTAAGGGCCTCAATCTGAGTTTAGGGTTTAGGGTTCAGGGTTTAGGGTGACTCAATCTCACGTCCTTGTCACCGTCCTTCACCTCGCGCAGCAATGCCACGGCTTGCAACCAGCCTGGATGGAGCTTGCAGAGCATTGATGCGATCATGCCCGCTGTGCAGATATGCGAGTCAGCTACAATCCTACAACCTAAGCCCCCTTTAAGGGTCCCTCCTTCAGTCCCTTGACGACCATCAGCCCCAACGTAAACCCTGAAACTACCAACTAAGGCCGAATCAGTCTCAATCCCAGTGTGCGGCTTGCGGACTTTTGGCTAAGCTCTGAAGAAGCTTTCGGGTATCAAGTGTCATGCACACGCATCGGATGCACAGTCGAACAGCCCTAACTCCGAACAGAATGGAAGCTCTGTAAACCCAAAACCCTGAACCCCTAAACCCTAAACCTTAAACCCCAAACCCTGAACCCTAAAACCCTAAACCCAAAACCCTAAGCCCCTAATTCCCTACACCCCTACACCCTCAACCCGAAAGCTTTCAGGTTTACGGTCTTAGGTTTCATGTTCTGGGGCCCAGGGCTAGATGGGTAGCTCCCCAGGGTCCCTTTTAGGTCCCCAAAACGCCCTTATAAAAAGGACCCCAAACGGGACCCTCATTTAGAGAAGTACCCATAGGTAGGCTCCGGGGGGGGTTTAGGGTTTAAGGGTTCAGGGTTTAGGGTTTAGGGTTCAGTATAATTTCCCCCCCACATCCTATTCTGATTATTAGGGCCCCTATATTACGTGAGCTGTAAACTTCCTTGTCTTGCGAGCCACGCCAAGCTCGGCCCACACAAGCGATGGCGGCATTGCCACATTTCCTTGCGAAGGGGTTGGGGTTTAGGTTTTGGGGCTTGGTGTTAGGATGTTTTGGGGTTGAATACAAGGGCCTAAATAATTGCCACTACTATTTTGGGGGTTCCTTAATTACTATATTCATGGTATAATATACCCCCAAACCCTAGTCCAATAAATAAAGCCCCTATATTTTGCCGGAAACTACAAGTGGGGAGTTTAGGGTATATAGGGCTTCTATAAGGCTTCCATAAGGTATATAGACCTTCTATAAGGCTCCTATAACGGTAACTACCCACATTGGGGCTTATGTCGGGGGTGCTGTGCAATTGGAGATCTCAACGACGCCGGCTTTCCGCCTGGCACCCACGACGCTCCCTCAAACTCTGTAGCCATTGGGGATTTAGGGCTTCGGGGTTTAGGGTTTAGGGTTTCATGGTTTAGGGTTTGGGGTTTCATAGTTTAGGGTTTAGGGTTTAGAGTTTAGGGTTTAGGGTTTCATAGTTTAGGGCTTAGGGTTTAGAGCTTAGGGTTTAGGGTTTTGGGCTTGGGGAGTTTAGGGCTTCAGGGTTGAAAGCATCCTTGCCCACGGTAACTTTCGATGTTTTTTTTTGAATTGCGGGGCCTGATGTTTCCTTATCCAGGGGACTGCGGTTGCTACAAGGGGGATCCCCTATGAGCCCTACACCCACAATCCGAAAACCCCGAAGGCCTTAAACCCCCAAACTCTAAACCCTAAACCCTCGAACCCTAAACCCTAAAGCCTAAAACTCAGAACCCTAAAACCTTAAACCTTAAGCCCTTAAAGCTACAACCACAAGGCCTCGCGCAAACCCCAAACCCTCAAATCCCAAACCCTGGTTTAGGGTTTAGGGTTTAGAGTTTAGGGTATAGCGTTTAGGGTACCCGAAAATCCAAACCCTTAAAACCTTAAAGTGACCTAAAGCCCTGAAGCCCAAACCCTCCCAAGGTGTCCTTCGTAGGTCGAGCGCCCTGTCCGAAATGACTAAGGCACTTCGCTCCTGGTCGGAAGTAAGGGTTCAAGTTTCAAGGTTTCAGGGAGGAGTTAAGGTTCAGGGATTTGGGGGGTTGAGGGGGTTTAGGGATTGAGGGGGTTTAGGGATTTGGCGGGTTGATGGAATTTAGGGGGTTTAGGGGGTTTAAGGTTTCAGAAGCTCCTGGGATCTTCATGGGGTTTCTTTGAGGTCACGGCTCAGGCAGGACTTAGGCGCGAGGAGAGGGTTGAGCAGCTGTCTGCCCTAACCCTAAACCTTGGGTCAATTTCTGGCAGGACACCAGATCGAAAGCTCGGCGAATAAGCTCCCCCAAACCCTAAACCCTGAACCTTAAACCCTGAGGGTTTGGGGTTTAGGGTTCAGGACCCGAGCCGGACCCCATCCTCCCCAAAGCAACTGAAAGCAAACGGCAAATCTCCTCGAGGCGCTGGTGAAGAAGCAGCGCCCTTTCCCATTGAAGGGAAGCTCTGCAACGAAGCAAGGAGGCCTCGGATATCCGGCTGTGGCTTTAGGGTTTAGGGTTTAGGGTTTAGGGTTTAGGGTTTGGGGTTTAGGGTTTAGGGTTTAGGGCTTAGGGGCTTGAGAGTGTCCTCCTTAATGCTTAGAGCAGTAGGCTGTTGGGCCTGTCATATAATCTCTCGATCTCTCCCTATAGGTCTCTCCATCTGTCTATCTACCTATCTACTTATCCATCTATCTGTCTACCTATCTATCTTTCTATCTACCTGTCTACCTATCTACCTATGTGTCTGTCTGTCTGTCTGTCTGTCTGTCTGTCTGTCTGTCTGTCTGTCTGACTGTCTGTCTGTCTGTCTGTCTGTCTGTCTGTCTGTCTGTCTGTCTGTCTGTCTATCAACCGATCTATCTATCGATCCATCTATCTATCGATCGATCTGTCTACCTATCTATCCGTCTGTTTATCTATGTATACATACATATGTTTTAGGTTCTTGCACATTTATGTTTACGCGTGTGTGTGTGTGTGTGTATGTATGTGTATATATATATATGCATATACATACAACTGTTTGTTCCTTAATGCATATATATATATATGTACATACACATGCATAATACGAATCATTTTAACCCCCCCCCCCCCCATATGGCGGCTTTCAACCTCTTCCGGGTGCCTATTAGAGAATGTCAAGCTTGGCCTTTTCAGGACACATGACCACGGAAACCCTAAACCCCTAAACCCTAAACCCTGCTGAGGGATGGCAGGGAGGGGCCGTCGGGCGCCACTGGTAAGCTTGTGCTGCAAAATCAACAAAGCCTTCTCTTAGGCGCGCATGTGGTCTTATTTAGGGTTTAGGGCTAAGAGTCTTGTAGCGAAACACCCGACTTATTCGAATACGGCTTTGGGGGAGATTCTCGTTCTTTATGCTCAAGCCGCTGTCTTAGGAGGCGTGGCCAACCTC